AAAAATTGAATCCTGAACCGTGAACCAGCGGTTCCGGATCCGGTTCGCGATTTTGAACCTTCTTTATTTTAAAATTTTATTTTTTATTTTAAAATAGTCTAAATTCAACAATAAATGTATTATTTTTTCAGTTCGGAACATGAACCGGCCCGTTCAGGTTCACGATTTTAATAAACTCGAAACATCGGGTTTCCATTCTAAATTATAATTGGAATATTTCGATTTGGTTGCTATAGTGTCTGTTTGGTTTGAATCAAATTGCTGTCATAATTTGTTGGAGAAGAAAAATAAATGAAATATTTATTTTAAATATGTATTTTAAGGATAAATATGTCCATTTAACATTTCAGGGGGAAAAACAACCACTTGAATAATTCAGGGGGAAAAGTGTTATAAGTATATAACTCATGGGGAAATATAATAAGTTTAGGGATGTCAATCGGGCTAGCTCACTCAGTTTTGGACTAATCTTGTTGGGTTTATTGGTTCGGGCTTATCATTTTTTGTGAGGTTCAACATTTGTTGCCTTAATCATAAAATCTCGGGTTGTCGAGCTTATTAGACGGGTTCAACTGAAATTTGTGACATTTTAAAATTAACATTATACTTTCAATTTTAATAAACTAGCACATTACCAACTACCTTGTAATGTTATGGCATCTCAGTTATCATTCCAAATGGGTGATCATACGTTCAAACATCGATGGTGGAGGCTTAGATATTTTGGACTAAAAATACATGTAGATACTACTTTGTAAATAATAATGAGAATTTTTTTTAAAAAATAGCACATTTTATATTATTAAATAGAAATTTAAACATCATTTTTAATGAATCTAAATCTCCATTTTCCAACTCCAACTCAAAAGCATTTTCAAGTATGTAACAATTAATTTAAAAGAGGTAATTTCACTTTTGGTCCTATAACTATTGGGGTCTTGTTAATTTTATTTCACGACTTTCAAAACTATCAATTTAGTACCTTAACTATTCAATTTTTATTAATTTTGGTCACTCCGCCCAAATTGCCGGCCAAAACTCACCAGGAAATATTAATAGGTAAAATAATGAGGGTATTTTAAAGACGAAAGAAAAGATAAGTAAAAAGATTAAAATACCCTCTTTATTTTACCTATTAATATTTTTCGGTGAGTTTTGACCGGCAATTTGACTGGAGTGATCAAAATTGATAAAAATTGAATAGTTAATGTACTAAATTGACAATTTTAAAAGTCGTAGATTGAAATTAACAAGACTCCAACAATCATAGAACCAAAACTGAAATTAACTCTAATTTAAAATATTATACAAGTATGAAACATTTCGTTTATACCTAAAATATTAAAATAAAACAAGACAATCAAAGACATGTAACTAAAAGAAATATGTTTATAATAATACCATACATTTATTAATTTATATATTGAGGAAATGATAATTTTAATACATTAATTATGTTTAAATTGTAGACTCATCCCATAAATTATAGTTCTAGTTTTCCCTTTAATTATGTTGAAAGTGGTTGTTTCAATCAATTACTTATAAATTTTGTTAACATTAAATATTTATTTTGATTTGCCAAATTATTAGAGGACAAATGGGTCATTTTGTAAATTTTCCCAAATATTTTTTAAAAAACCCTTCCACATTGATGATTTCCCGTAAATGTTAGGTTCATTGTAATGTCGATTAGTGATTACACAAGAATACCTTAGTCTACAATTTAGGCATAATTAATGAAATAAAATTATGATTTTAATCATGTCACGTTGTAATTTTAATTTTTAAATTAGAGATTTTTTATTTTATTTTTTGGTTCGTTTGCTTTCTAATTATTCATTATGAGAATGTCAAAATCGAAAAATGATTAAAAACTCAAAAATTATTTATATATACATTAAACCGTTAAGAATGCCTTAGTTTACATTTTGTACTCAAATGACATGTAATCATTTTTTTCATGTGGGAAGTCACGAGATCGAGCCTCAGTGGAGGCATTGTCGACTTTGTGTGCTTCAACATGCCAATAGAGTAATAGACCCAACATTCACTTGAAATTATCAATGTGAAAATTAATATATTGTGTAATAAATTTTTTATTTTTCATTATTTATTTTCATAAAATTATTTTATTTTTTAAATAAATTTAATAATATATTTGTTAAAATTTTAAAAATATTAAAGATGAACTTACGTATAAACTTCATATAAAATTTGTCCACATCACTCGTAGAAAAAAAAGTGGTATTAAGTGACTCGCGCTATTAGGCTATCTTACTAAATTTCAAGCCATTAGACTTATTAATTTCGCTCTTATTGAATTGATTTTTTATCGAGCTAATTTTTGTGTTGTTTTGTTTTGTTTTTTTGTTTTTGTTTTTGTTTTTGTTTTTTTTTTTTTTTTTGGTTTTTTGTTTTTTGTTTTTTTTTTTGTTTTTTTTTTTTGTTTTTTGTTTTTTGGTGCCATATTCCTAAACATTGTGTGTTTTATCGGTTAAATAATTAGTTTCGTGCTAAGATTGACATCTCCAAATAAATTGATGATATAAAATTATAAATAATTAAAAATCATATTATAGTGTCATGTTAGGACAAATTTTTATTTTATTTTATTTTTTTGAACAAAGGAAAGGGCGAAGCCCCGGATACCAAAAACAACAAAGTCAGTCGCTATGGGCGAACGAACTCCCTATACAGTTTCTATAGACAAACTTTGCGAGAATTGCATTCGGGCAAAAATTTAACAAAACTAAATCAGATTTAACTCCTTGATTTATCGCCAGCCAATCAACCACTTGATTTTGTTTCCGTAAAACGTGACAATATTTCACATTCCAATTTCTCTTCATTCAATTTTTACACTCAAAAATAATATTATTCAAATTACGCCACTAGTAGCATTAAAAAGAGGGTCATTAATCCATCTAACCAGGAATCGCTTTGGATGATGATATTAGTAAAAGTACATAAAACAAAACAAAAGGGGGTGTCAAAGTTGCAAACCCATTAACCCAGAGTTTTTTGCACTTTTGGTCCCACGACTATAGTGGCACTAGCAGAGTTGATCCACGACTTTTGAACCTTGCAATTTTAGTCCACGACTATTGATTTTTTTGCAAAAATGATCCTTCCGGCCACTTTTTCGTCAAAATGTCACCGGAAGAAAAATTTTTCGTTTTTAGCAGGGGTAAAATTGACATTTGACTTGTCTCCAAAAAAAAATAAATAAATAAATTAGCGTTTGACTTTACTACTCCTCTTATTCACCAAAACAACAAACAAAATAAAACCCCCCCAATTTCCCGAACCCTACCTGCGAACAAGACGCCATTGCAGATGCAGCAGAAGCATAAACATGCATTTCGGAGAAGGCCTCCTATCGATTCAGACATGTCCGAGTCAGAGTTGACTCAAGCAATTCTGAAATTCGAAGAAGCTTACGAGCAAGCAGAGAATGCAAAGTTGCAGCAGATGGTGGTGATGGAAAAGCAGAGAATGAAGTTTGTAGATAATGAAGTTTGCAGTAACTAGGAAGAGTTTTAAATTAGGTTGGTTAGTGTGCATTTTAGGCAAATGACTAATGCTCTTGTTTCTTTTACTCATTATGAATGTTCATGTTGTTGAATAGAAATATGTAGGATCATTTTAGTTTGGCAGATCTATGGTCAATGCTGAACATTGTTGTATCATTATGTTACTTGTGAAACTACAGCTCGTGTAGAATGATGAGAAAAAAATTGTAGTTCATTAGTGATCAAGTGAAATTTAATACTTCCACCATGCTTTCTACTGTATATGATATGCAACATTATCTTCTGCATGTTGTCCTTGTTGCTGTTTTAGATTACCCACAATCAATTCTCTGTTGTGTTATGCTCATCAATAGACAAAAATCCATCAACCATAGACAAAGAAACCATAAACAGTCTGATGTATTAACCATAATCAGTGTTTACAATTTTAAGACAACAAAACTGCATTGGCAGTATAACAACAGTTTTGGCATCATAGTTTGACAAAATAACATGCCTAAAATCATAAACCATTACAGTTTTGGCATTACAAAAAGAATCATAAAAACCATTACAGTTTTGGCATTACCAAAAAAACCATAAACCATTACATCAGTCAATTTTACTTGGAACTAGATTTGGTAGAACACTTTCTCTGAACTGGAAGTTTCACTCTAAAATTAGTTTTGTTCTTGGCTTGAATTAGTGGGGCTTGAACTTGGGCTTGAAGTGTTTCTACATGTGCTTGAACTGGTGGGGCTTGATCCGAATCTCCTTGGGGTTGAACTGAATCTGATTGGGCTTATTCTTGCATTGGCAGTATAAGATCATCCAAATTGAATGAACTTAAAGCAATATCAAAATCATATTCTTCTTGTGTTAAAACATCACGGGCTCCCATTTCCTGAAACCATAAACCATAGAACATAGACATTAAACCATAAACCATAGACAATAAACCATAAACCATAAATCATAAACCACTGCTTACCATTGGAGCTGGAATGTAAACATTAGGCTCAGTGGTGTTTTCAACAACTGGCTCTGAAGTGTTCTCAACAGTTGGTTGTGCTTTGTTATGAACTTGTGGTTGCTTCTTGGATCTCACCCTTTTTCTGGGATTATTCTAAACAAAAACAACAACAATAAGTAAAATTATTAAACTAAACATATAAAGATAAATAAAATAAAGTAATTAAAGCATTACCAGTTTTTCTGTCAAACTTGGATCATTAGGACATCTCCTATTATTGTGGCCAGACTGTTTGCAATTGGAGCAATGTAATTTTATTTGAGACCTTGCCACTCTTTCTCCATCATTTTTTATCTTGTGACTTGCTGTCTCACCTGCTGACTTTTTCCTTAATATTTGTGGCCTCCCTACTCTGACAGTGTACACAGGAGGTAGGGGTGGATTTCTTTCACGTATAGGCCAATCATCAGGGCCAGCCATTGGTCTAATACATCCTTCATAAATCTTCAAATATGTATCTTTAGAATAACAGGGGTGGATGTAGTCAGTTACATGGCCTTTTCCATGCTTAAGCCAAATTGCACGAACACCATGCTCACATGGAATACCAGTGAGGTCCCACTTTCTACATGAACAGGTTCTTCTTTGCAAATCCACTCTATGTTGTGCCTCATACATACCTCCAATCTCAAATAAATATGTGTCACATTGATATCCTGTATAACCAGCTGCTTTTTCCTCAATAATCTTAACTTTCTCCACAATCCTAGGGCAAATATTGCCAGTCCACTTACTCACTTTTTCCCTATTGGCAAATAGCTTGGTCATTAGCTGCTTTCTGATTAATTCAAGGCACAAAATGATAGGTTGTTTACGTGCATCAATAATTACAGCATTAAAACTTTCACAAATATTGTTCACCAACATATCACAATGAGAAACACTTGTGAAATGTGACCTACTCCATTCTGTTGGACTCTTATTAGATAGCCAAACATATGCATCCTCATCCAATTGTCTAAGTTTTCCAAGTGCAGTTGTATATTTGGGCACAGTTGTTGCTTTGGCACAGTCCCATAGTGCATCCTTCAATGCCTTTCCTTGAAATCCCGCAACCTTCATATTCCCATGAAGGTGCCTAACACAAAATCGGTGCTCAACTCTAGGCAAAACCACTTCAAATGCTTCTATTAAACCCTTTTGTTTATCTGACATGAAGGTAAATTCATGTTCATTCCCCTCACTGATTTCTAAGTCTTTTTTTAAGAATTCTAAAAACCACACCCAAGACTGTTTTGTTTCACCCTCAACAATGGCATATGCAACAGGGAAGATTGAGTCATTAGCATCAAGTCCAACTGCAGTCAGAATTAACCCCCCAATTCCAGACTTCAAATGAGTTCCATCCACTCCCAAGATTGGCCTACAAAATTTGAAACCTTGCCTATATCCATCCCAACACATGTACAATCTAAGGAATCTGTTTCCCCCACAAAGTTCAACATTGTCACTGAGCTTCACCTCACAGATTGTCATAGGATTAGTCCTGATAATTTCTTGGCGGTAACTCCAAATCTTTTTGAAATTATCATCTAGATTACCCATAATTTGAATTTTAGCTTTCTTCATTGCTCTATAAGCTTGATGTGTACTAATATGAAACTTTTCATCTTTACACACCTTTTGCCTAAATTTTTCCATTTTCCAGTCATCATGATGTGCAATCTCCTTACTCCACCTCTTTGCAACTACAGTTGACGTTGCTCTTGAATTCTCAGAAGTCCAACAACATCCATCATGTTTATCTGTCAATCTAAGGATGCTCCAATTCAAAGAATTCTGTTGCTTTCTTAAAGTTACTGTCCAAGGACAACTACTATCCCTACATTTAACAACTAGTCTGGCTTTGTCATTCTTAACAATTTTTACATCTTTTCCATTGTTAAAGGCATAATTGGTCACAGCTTCCTTAAACTCTTCTTTGCTAGAAAAAGTCAATCCTAGGATTAAATGAGGCTCTTTCATATCAGTAGCTGCCCTAAAAACAGGCCACTTACTACCCTCTACATCACTATCTGAGTCTTTTAATGATGCATCATCAGATAGATTAGGTTCGTCCAAATTTCTCTCCCAACTATTCACACCAACTGGTTCACTAGAAATACCTTCTACCCCACCAAACTCAACTGTAGAATCCACATTCTGATCAAATTCAAAGTCATCAATATTTGATATGTTACCATCTATTTCATACTCACTATCAGTATCATCACTTTTTGCATCACCGTCACTACCATTATCACCTAAATTATAAAAACAATAATCAAATTGTTATAAGAAGAAATGAATAATTAGCTAAGACATAATAGTAATCAAATTGCTGGCACAACAAAACAACAAAAACAATATGTTCACTTGTAATCAAATTCACTAGGCAATTTTAAATATTTATCACAAATTTTTAAGGAAATGTTTGTGGGTACTAAAATAACATATGGTAACTCAATGGTGCCACACAATGGTTGTGAAGAATATTTGAACCATATTTAAGGCATTTACTGGTTCGAAATACAATATTTAGATTTAAGCCATTTGTTCCAATTTTCCAACTCCAAGGTCTGTTGCTTGATTTAAGCCATTTGTTCTAGTTTTACAACTCCAAGGTCTGTTGACACTGGAGTGTGGTCCCCATTCACAGAACACATGCCACATGTTACAAGTAAACATTATAAATTGATTACTGGTCCCCAGAACACATGGTCTCCATCTATAATACTACAAGTTTGCAATACACTTAATATAAAAGCATATTCTGCACTTTTCGTACTAGGCAAAAAGTATATAATGCACTGTAAACTAGTATAGACATATCAACAAAATTCATAGCAATAACACCATACAAACACCCACAAATATAGACACAAATATTTTACAAACTAAAAGTTTGGACATTGAAAACTTACCATCACTCCTCAACCTACGCGGAATCATTCTTGAATTTTTCGCACTGGAGAATCAAGCCACGAAATCCAAGCGACTATTTGTGACTGTTGTTGTCTTGTTCGCAGGTAGGGTTTGGGAAATTGGGGGGGTTTTATTTTTAAGTCAAACGCCAATTTATTTATTTTTTTATTTTTTGGAGACAAGTCAAATGTCAATTTTACCCCTGCTAAAAATGGAAAATTTTTCTTCCGGTGACATTTTGACGGAAAAGTGACCGGAAGGACCATTTTTGCAAAAAAATCAATAGTCGTGGACTAAAATTGCAAAGTTCAAAAGTCGTGGATCAATTCTGCCAATACCACTATAGTCGTGGGACCAAAATAGCAAAAAACTCCATTAACCCAACCACAAATCAAAGTTGCAATCTGCAAATTAAATCCCACCACTAAGCACGCACTCACCCCTAATCCAAAACCACAACGGCGAGATTGCTTGTTTGAGCTGCAGCAATGGAGAGATGGAGGAGGAGGAAGGTGGGGGAGTGGCCTGTTAGGGTTTGTTTGAGCTGCTGCAAGGAGGAGGTCGAAGGATGAGAATACAAGGACAGTTGCAGGGGGACATGCCGCCTCCATGTCCAGAGCTGATACGCACAGATTTTTTCTCAGGCACTTAAGACAAAAATGCACGAAAACGGAAAGCGTGGGCGTACTATTTATTTCCGCATTGCAGGAGGTGCGTGTCTATTTCTGGTAAGTCAAGATCGCGAATCGCGATTTCAGTGTGTAAAACTGCATGTCTGAGCTCATTTCTGGTAAAAAAACAAACAAAGGTCTAATTAGCTGGGAAATTCTGCGTTGGTTGTGTGTGTTGAGAAGAGAATAGGGAGAGCTTAAATACCTCTCATATCATCAAGAGGTTTCTTCTCACTTTCCTCCCTGTTTCTATTCATTTTTCCTATCATTTCTGGTTTACTTAGCTCAGTAACTTTGAATCCCAAGTTTACTACAAGTTTCTCCTCTGGTTAGAATGGGTGAAAAACTTCCACTGTTTTTCAGATTTATGGCCATTCATGGGTCTCCAACCAGACTTGTATGCTATTCTATCTCCATTTTCACTCTGTTTTCTTTCTATATTTTCAAGAGTCTAGCTCTAAAGTGATTTTTTTTTATTATTTAAACAAACTTGGTGAACAGGAGCTCCCACCCATTATCTCCAAGAAACTTGTTGAACAGGAGGTTGAACAAGTGATGTTAACCAGCCAAAAGGGCAGCTGGGAAGTTCAAACCCATACATTTGGAGGAGAGCTCTATTTCACAAAGGGGTGGGATGCTTTTGCCCTGCAGCATGACATATGTTATGCAGATCTTTTACTGTTTGAACACACTGGTGGCTCCAGTTTTAAAGTGAGAGTGTTGGGTGCCACTTGCTGTGAGAAAGATTTCCAAGGTAAATTTAATCTATTGGTGACAATCCTTTTTCTTGTTAATACTGTAGTAGTGAATTTTGTAGCTTGGAATCTTGAAGTAAAAGATTAATGCTTGTTATTATAGGAGGAAGAGCACAAGGAAAGAATGCAGAAGACTCTGTGAAACTGGAAGTGGACATAGATGAAGTGCCACATGATCATGCACATGATAAGGTCACTAAAAGTGAGTTCAATCTACTATTGACAGTCCTTTTTCTTGTTAATACTGTAGTATATGGTTGTGAGCTGGATTGTTATTTAGATTTGATTTCTCAGAAGTAGTGAATTTTGTAGCTTGGAATCTTGAAGTAAAAGATTAATGCTTGTTATTATAGGAGGAAGAACACAAGGAAAGAATGCAGAAGACAGTGAAGATTCTGTGGAATTTGAAGTGGACCTAGATGAAGTGGAAGTGGACATGGATGAAGTGCCTTCCCCTGTGAAAATTCAGAAACATGATCATGCAAAGAAGGTCACTAGAAGTGAGTTAAATCTACTCTTGACAGTCCTTTTTCTTGGTAATACTGTAGTATATGATTGTGAACTGGATTGTTATTAGATTTGATTTCTCAGAAGTAGTGAATTACACTTTGCTTTGCTTTGCGTTTTGTTTTCTACATTAACAAATACAGAGTACTTATTTTGATTCATGTTTTGTGGGTTGCTTTGATAAATTTAACCTGTCTCCAGTTATGTTGTTAGAAGGAATTAAACTTAAAATCCTATGTTTGTTAATTCAGAATGACATGTCATATTGGAATAAAATATTGTCAAATGAAGTCTTTGTTTGTTGATTTGCTATGCTTACTCCTTGCTTTGGTAGGAAAGCGAAACCCTAAGGTTGTGAATATGTCTTCTACGGACCGTTCACAATTCGTAAGAAGCATAAAACAGTACAATATCCGACGTAGATCTCCTTATATGGTAAGTTTTTTGAGTCCTGTTAAACTTTTTCATCACTTACTGACTGGAGATTCTGTAAACTTCCCTCATTTTTCCATTACAAGCTTCAGTTTTTGCTTGTTTGCTCCTTACCCTTCTGTTTATATGTTGGATTTCAGCACATACCCGCCAACTTTTGCCTAGCTAATGGCCTTTATTGCAATGCAAGAATATGTCTGAAAGGTCCATGCAGTGAACAAGAAGTTAGTCTTAAAGTTTGCAGAGGTGGGAGGACGATATATACTATCATTTCTAGGGGATGGTCCGAGTTCATTGCAGGCAATGATCTGAAAGTAGGAGAGATCTGCACCTTCAAACTCCGCAGCACAGAAGGCAGTTCAAATGGTGTTGTGTTTGATGTTGATGTTCTTCGCAAATCAACCTAGTCTTGAGATCTTTTTTGTTGAACTGTTTTAAAAACTCACACTTTGGATAAGAAACTCTAGTAGTAGGGCATTATGATGTGAGTTGGGAAATCTACCCACTTAGTAGAAAAGTGCGAGTCAACTATTGAAATTGTTGATGTAATGTTACATGTGTTCAAATCATTAAGAATTTCTGCAACTTTTACCTAAAACCATAGAATTGAAGCTATTCTTAACACAATTTCTTATTGTAATATTGCACATATACATTGATTGGTAATGCAGGGAGATATGGAACTACTGTTGCAGTACTTGAACATTGGGAATTATGGAATCAAGGAAATGAATCCTAGCAGAACATCTGCTGCATTCTGAGCTGCCAATGGGGCAAACAAGGCTGCTTCATTGGATTCAGAGGAGCCTCCGCCAGCTAGATCAGACAGCGCTCTTATCGCGATGAATGGCACTCTTTGCTGTGAGCAAACAAGCGCGACTGCAGCAGTTTCCATGTCGATAGGAGTGGCATTGAATGCAGAATGCAAGAAGTCGCGGTAAGCACTGTTGTCCACGAAGACATTGGCACTCACCCCTCTCTTTACCCTCACTACTTTTGGTGCTCTTTGTAAGCAGGTAGAGTTTACACAACCCTCTAGCTTCATATTCTGTGGAAGTGTGAATTGAAGTACATAAACTTATATTTATTGCCAAAACCAAATATGCAGATAAATATTTGATGAGAAAATGGGATAACCTCAAGTTTCTTGGCAAGGGAGAAGTATGGTTCATTGACTGGTGTCCAAAAAGCATGTTGTCTGATCTCAGGATATCCATCAATGGGAAAGATCTCTTCTGGCTGGTACCACACATTGTTCAAAAGGTTACCTGAAGACACCTTTGCAGTGTCATATTTGGAGAAGTTAAGGTACCCAATCTCTCTAGTATAGTCTCCATTGGATTCCAAGGCTAGTTCATCATTTGGTCCATCCCCAAACCTCTGAACATATATGAAACAACACATAATTAAATATATAGGATTTTTAATCAACATGGCATTCAAGATTCTTGTTTTCTTCTTCTGAATTGTGAGTGTATTATGACCTGCCAGTTCCAAAGGCCTGTGTGAGCCCAAAATTGGGGAATGGTCACATCTCCTATTTGGAGTTGTGGATTTGCATTTCCAGATATTCCATAGTGAACAACTCCTTCAACCTCAAAGAAACTTAGCAGCAACTGTGTAGCAATACCTGAATTAAGCTACATACAGGCCAAAATTTCAACAGATTAGAGTACAGTATACTAATAATTCTGAAATTAGCCAAACAAGTCATAACTGGGAAATACATAAACTGATCTGAGTTTTTCAACATACCATTCCCAGTCCTGACATCACAACTATAACCTTCTTATTCTTGAGACTTGCAATCCGAAATCTCCTTCCTGCCATAACAATGTGCCCAGGCCAATTTACTTAGCTTCTGACATTCTTGACAAAGATTATGAGTCCTTAAAAGATAAAAGAAAGTAACATAGGACTCAAATTTGAAGCCTCTACGTCACGGGAATTCGAAAAATAGATTGGACGTTAACTCTATCAGCCTGAATAGGCGACCTAGTCGGTGTCTAGGGGGCCTATGAGGCCTAGTCAGCGCCTAGGCGGCCTAGTCGGTTGCCTAGCCGGCCAGCGCCTAGGTGCCGATTAGGTGGGATTTTCGCAACACTGCTATGAGGTAACTATTCTGTTATTATGATATAACTTAATATTGGACTCCCATCCCATTTATTGGTTGCCTGTTGAGGGGAGTGTTGAGAGAGTCCCAATAGTTTATTACCCATTACATACATACATACATACATATATATATATTGAAAATATGAAATCATAAGCAATATATAATAGTGAAGATTACCAGCAAAATCCAAGAAGGGTATGGAGGGATCAGAAACAAAGCTTGGAGATTGGAGGAGAGGGTTCATCTCAAAGCTGTTAGGCACCACTATACCCAAGAATGGCCCCTTTTTATTTACAGCTTTGATCTTTTCCATCACAGATGGAGAAACTACTGCACCATATCCCACACTCATTTCAAGAACAAGAAGAAGCCATCCTAGTACCACAGCACTTCTCATGACTCCATGCATCATCATCTAGCTAGCTTTTTGGAACAAAAAAACTTTGTAAAGATGGAGAGAAAAGTTGAAGTATTTATCTTCTTCTTCTTGAGGTTCGATCTACATATATAATCTAAGGGGTGCATGTATTTCATTTAATTTGGATTTATTTAGATTTTTAAAAACTTCCATTTGGATTTGTTTAGACTTTTAAAAACTTTAAAAAATGGTGGTATTCGATCTAGACTTTCAGTGGGTATTCCATTAAAACTTTTACAAAAAAAGTCTGTTGGTATTCAAAAAGTTATTAATTTTTATAGAGACCGTCAAATTATTGACTTTATAGATTTTTTTCTTCTGTAATATATAGTTAGTTGAAATTCATTTTTCAGACCCCAAACTTCTAAACTTTCTCTATAAATTACCAAACATGCATGTGAATCTGAATTTTATTAGGATATCTGAAATGAGAAAAGTCAAATCCGCATGCAAAAATCAAACTTTTTTGAGTTTGATTGATTTGGACTTTATATAAATATTGTAACTTATATATGAACTTTAATTCCTGGACAATGACTCAACTCAATTGACTAATCAAAAGTTTGATCTTATATATGATAGCCTAAGTTTAAAAAAAGGAATCAAGAAATCTTCAAACATGGTTTTGGCCCATTTGTCTTCTTCCAATTCCTCCCCCATACGCCATCCCAGCTTCGTGTGGCACGCCATATTCAAACCCCCTTCATTCTGGTAATGGTAATGGAATGATGTATGTATTTCATTTCAATTAAAAGTTTAAACTGATAATTGAACTGTGAGTTTATTTTCAAACACCTTATTATAACATGCCAACCATGTTTTGTTAGAATCTTCAATTAATTGCCCATTATTAGTTCAAAATTAAGTTAATTAATTTATGTACTTTTAATTTTGGCATATGTTGGACCAAAGAGACTTAGTCCTATTAATTACTTCTCTAAAATAGTGTTTGTAATAAAAGAGGATTATAAAATTGAGGGATTGCTTGTGGCTGAGAAATTGAAGAGGCAAAGTCAATTAATTGGTTTCACAATTATCTCAACATACATGTGGACATCACGGGCTGTACGTCTATTAGACATGCATGCAAAAATGAGTTGATTAGTATGGTGTGGGAGAGAAAAAAATGAGTTGATTAAAATTAAGGAATAAGGTTAAAATTGGCCACTGAACGTAACACGAAAATGCAATTAGGCCATTGAACGGAAAAAAGTGCAATTAGGCCACTGAACACACAAAAAATGTGCAATTTCACCTGGTAGCAGGTTACCCCCAATTTTAGCAGGTTACCCTCAATTTTAGCATGTTACCTGCTTACGTGGCAGCTGAGTTGGTATTTTTAATAAATTTTTAATAATAATTTTTATATAAAAAATAAAAATAAAAACGACTGTATTTTGTTTTTATTTTTTTTTTCATTTTTTAAATTTATTATTATTATTAATTATTAAAATTTATTAAAAATTCTTTAAAAATTATTAAAAATGCCAACTCAGCTGCCATGTAAGCAGGTAACCTGCTATCCTGTGAAATTGCATACGTTTGGAGAGTTCAGTGGCCTAATTGCACGTTTTTGCAGTATTCAGTGGCCTAATTGCACTTTTTTTTTCGTTCAGTGACCTAATTGCATTTTCAGGTTACGTTCAGTGGCCAATTTGAACCTTATTCCTAAAATTAATTCACAACACATTATACGTGGATTTATGCATCAAGGGCAAAGATGTCAATAATACTATATATTGGGAGTTGGGACTGCATAAGAAGAGAAAAACCGAAGTTTGAAAGGTGATTTATTCAGAATATGTTTTTTAGTAAGTTACGAGGAGAAACTTCAAGGGATAGAAATAAGTTACAGGAAAAAACTTCATAATTTCTGTACTGTAGATTCATAATTTCTATAATAACAAATGAAAAATAAAATTGTGAATCTACGTTTTAAAAAAAATAAAAATAAAAATTATGAATCTACAATATAGAAATTATGAATCTACCATTGTATTCACTATATGTATAGTGAACACGTTTCCACATCATAATTTGTGGCCAAAGAAAGGGTGGGGCTTTTCAATTTCTTTTGGCCCAAAATCAGCAGCTCATTGTGGTTTATTCTTCAGAATCTTTTTAATATGGCTCAACCTAGAAATCATTCATCTTCTAATCAATTAATTCATTAAGATAAGCTAATTTTAGCCAATCATTATACGGTGGACCATAGTCCACAGATCATTTTTAGCATATATACTAAATGTCTTCAATATAATTTGTCAGCTTAGTCCAAAGAATATTTCTTTCCCAAAAAATGTTATTCTTACAACCCTCCCAATACAAAGTATAATGAAATTGAAACCTTATGATTATCAAACTAAATACCCGATTAACTCGGTTAGAGTATGCTCCCAAACGGTGGCATTCACAATTTGAGTTGGAGTACCACTCCAAGGAGTTTGAGCATTTGAAGAGTGATGAGTGGTTGTATGATTTTGATTTTTGACCTTATGAGAATATAATGTTTATTTATTATTTGCGAATTAATTGCATTTTTATAAGTTGCTCCATTAGTCTCATTTTATGTATTTGATTTGATTAATGAGGCTTGTCTGGAGTTATTTTTAATTTAATTTTTCATAATATTAAGTTTAATATTAATATATAAAATCTATATATTTAGAAACTACATTAAAAATAGTATTAAAAATAAAAAATTAAATTTAAAAAATACTAAAAAAATAAGAAAAAAAAAGGAATTGATTTGACTAGTGAATAGAAAAAGTAAAATGGAATGAAGTAATTATGTAATAATATTATGTCAAAATGATTAAAAAAAATAAATCCATGTAATATTATCTAGGAGTTGTCATCCCCAACAATTGTTGTACAGTATTTGTTTGCAATAGTAGAATGGTTTTCAAGTTTAATAACAGAGTGATGATCGTAAGCGGATATTTTACATGTATCAAAATTTTTGTATAATGGTAGTTGGGACAATTTTGGTTGTGTTAAATGCATAAAATAAATTAAACTAAATGAAGATGCATTATGTTATTATCATTAGTACAGTTCATCACATCTCATAATAGGGCCTTTTAATTTGTAAATTTGAAGATTTTGTGAGGATCTTAAACTAGCTTAGTCTGCAGAAGTTTAATTTGCAACTAATTATATATCATACTGCATGCATATTATATATATATATACACTAAGCTAGCTAGCTAGCTAGGAAATAGATCAGAAGCAATAGAAAGTGATGATAGGATAATGATCTTAATGACTTAATTAGTTGTGAAAGATCGATCAGAATTAATAATACATAATAATAATAATAATTATACATAATTAATACAGCACACCTAAAATTATCCGAACATACTAAGAATGTATAGCATCATGAGCAATCAGCCTTGGAATCTTAGCAGATTGACTGCTCATGATGTTATAGCTAATATAATTTCTCTAGCTAATTCCCTAGTAGGTTAATAATTTTTAGTGTGCTGTACGCAACGTGGGATAATAATCAACTTAACGTAATGTAACCACATTATACGTAGTTTTAATTTTGTACTCTGATCTGATATGATCTTAAGTTTCATGATCGGAAACCTCCTCCCCCGAAAGCCGCCGGAGCCCAATAGTCCGCCCCGTTATCACTCCCGACTTGAAGCGTGCATGATATCGGCACAAGACACAACCCTCTACTCCTCAAATCCTTCTTTGCTTCTTCATCACCATCCTATCATTATTATCAATGAATTATATATATATTGTTGTCCATTTTAATTTGTTCCTAGGAAAAACAACTTTAATTTAATTTAATAATGTTGTACCTGCGGCTGATGATGATCAGATGTTCCTTTCCTCTTCAAACAGTTGTCATTTAAGAGCTATATATAAGACACATGAGAAAACAGATTTTGAATTATATATGACATTATAAATAGAATATTTACGTATTAATTGTTTTATTAAAAGAAAGCAACTTTTCTTTCATGCCTAGCTAAAACCTATATATTGTGGCATTCATATATCCATGGTAGGTAATAGATCCAATAAAGCTATCATACCTGACCAGGGTCTTCAGGGAATAAACTATTCCTCTCTGCACCTTGCACAAACTGAAAACAAAACAAAATAATCATTAATCCATAATGCAACAACATTATTGTCTTTTTAATTTTTTTTTTTTCTTTACTTCCCACACCATCATGATATATATGCTCTACAGTTAAATATACAACAGGGTCCCCACCCCACCCCACCCCTCCCCCCTCACCTTACTATCCCTCATACCCACTAAAGAACACAAAAAACGTAAATCATTTTAGATTATAAATAGTTGACTAACTTAAACCAAGAAGATCAATATGTCACTTTCAGTGAAAATAAAACTTAGAATCTTGTGGTTACCAAGTCAACAGTCTGACCAACTTAATTGAGGTTATTCGCCAATCTTTTGTGTCAAGTGTGACTATGAATGAAATAGCTAGTTGCACTACGTGTTGTAAGAACGAATTTTGTTTGTACAACATCTAGTACCATACAACCCAATAACATATATACATTATTGTATCGGATACAAAAAGACACTGATCTGTGTCGTCGATTAACACCTTAGAAGATTCTTGGTAAGTAAAAGTTAAAAATTACTTACTGACTGTTGTTGATGCCTCATGTTATTTCCTGATCCATTGCCCAAGTAGGGCAAGCTAAGGGCCTGCAGCACAATTCAAGGGGGAAAATGTATATAAGATAAGGAAAAAGTAATGTTTGTTTTCACCAATAACTAAAAAAGGATGCAATGTCTGAAAACTGGGGCTTTAACTATTTATGTATGTACCATCATTTAACTGTTTATGTATGTATGTATATATATATATGTACCATCATATTATGCTACATATATATATGCATGGTAGTTTGAAACCCAGATTTATATATGATGAAGAAACATCACCTCAATCTGGCTTTGAAGGAATCTAATGTACCCAATAGCTTCTAACAAGACAGAAGCAGTGTCAGTCTGCAAAATTCAAAACCCAAAAACAAAAAAAAAAAGTTAACTTAAATTGCCTCTTCATTTTAAGTGTATTAATTAATTAAATTAATTAAATCTGCCATGAGAAAACTCTATAAAAAAGATAAAGAAGCAGACAGAGAAATGTCATCTTCTTTTTGAGACTTCCTTTCTTTTCTTTCTCCTTTATAAAGAAAAAGATTCATCATTTATAATCCAATCATGACTAATTAAGTGGTAAATCTGGGCAATTAGTGTAGTTAATTAGTTGGTTAGTGTTGGGCTGCTAGAAGAGTCGAGTTAGTATCCTGTCATCGAATCTTGTCCTGTTACGCAAGTATAAGGAAATAAAGTTGATCTTTCGCTACTAACTAGCTATAACTTTTGGCGTAATGGTAAGTATTTGATTTGACAATTGGTATCAGAGCAGTTTAGCTACAGGTTAATTAATTACCTTCCCAAATGGAGAAACTAGTTGGTGAAGGGCAGTAATTCTATCTCCCAATTTTTCCTTCCTCACCTGTTAAGTTAATCAACGTATATATTACAATCAAAAGGAAGAAAGGATGGCATAATTGTGTGGATGAAAAGAGGGAGAGAGAGAGAGAGAGATAATGACATGAGAGAATAACATGCAAGAGAATCGCCATGCTTGAAAGAGAGGACAATCAAGAAAGACAATAGTAAAATGACAAGAAATGAAAGAAATAGATTCACATACATATATATACTGCTAAGAAGCCTTAATCCCATCTCAGTTGACTCGACCCAAAAGATAAGTTAATACCCAGATTTACTTACTTTTGTACCAAACTTTAATAATTTCAATCTTATTGGACCGACTTAAAGTAAAAATATTGTAATTTTTACCTTGAAGGTGGATTGAGTTGAAGAAGGTTGAATCCTAGCCTTCTTAGTAGGTGCCCCACCAGTAGCAGTGCTGTTACACTTTATAAAACAAAACGAAGAACACACATTAATCTTTTCATGATATTCTAAACCCTAATAATTGTAAGTAATTCTAAAGATCAGATATACAATAAGTACATGCAAGTAGAAAAGATGGATTTTGTAAGTTAAAATTGTAAGAAATTTGATACCTCGGAAGAGTGATCAGGGGGAGGATGTCTAGCATCGGACTTGTTAGAGAAATCCAACATGTTATTACTACTTAAGGATGTGACGCAAGACTTGGCCGGAAATTCCACGTTTCCGCCATGGCCGCCGCCGTAGACGTAGGTGTTTGTTGGGTTTTCTTGTTTTACGTCGTAAACCATGGCGGCGGCGGAGGCGGAGGCGTGGCTAAGTAGCTGCTGCTCCCAATTCTCCAGCTTGTTCTTAACGCCTTGCTGCATCATACCGCTAAACCCAGATTTGTCTTCTTCACCCACCAACCCTCCCCTAAACATGCACATATATCGATAATAATTTAAAAAAAAAAAGAATAAATTAGTCTAGCATAGGCTGAGAAACCTGAGAGACTTACAAGAGAAGCTGGCTCCATGACTCTGGAAGCTGGTGTTCATGGTGGTTGTTATCGGTCCACGAGGAGGCGGATAAGGGCGGGAGGGAAGGGGTGGCGGTGGGCGGTGGCGGGGAAGGGAAGAGAGTGGGGAGAGGAGCCAAGAAAGGAGGAGGAGGCGGCGGTTGGTGGTGGTGGTGGTGGAGTTGATGATGGGGTAAAGGAGGCCTCATGGTATTATTGATGATGCTCCACCAGTTAGGGCTTCCACCACCCATCATTTGCTGTACTGGTAGTGATGAACTCTGCAAAACACCTCTATTCATCTGATCTCTTCTCTCAATTCAATTATCTTCTCTTTCACTTTCACTTTCACCTTCTTGATCACCTTCTAGCTAGCTCCAGCCTTCTTCTTCTCTCTAACTTTATACAATTTTCTTGAATCTATCTCTCCCAAACAAACAAGGCCTTATTAGCTTGTTCTTTTAGGAACTTTGGGGGGTCTTCCCACTCTTGATTAAGTAGAAGAATGATTGAAAGAAGTTTACATAAGTCTATCTATAGAGAGAGAGAGAAAGAGAGAGAGAGAGTTGAATCATGGTTTTGAGGACCTTTGTTGTTTTTGTATCCCATCTTTCTCTACTTTCTTTATTAGTAGCTTTAATTTTTCTTTTATTATTAATTGGCCTTCACCTTTCTTCCTAGCTTTCTTTTTTGATTTACTTTTCTATTGCTTTGCTTTTCTCTTGCTTTTGCTTTACCATTAAAGTGGGCAGGAAAGGTGGTAGTAATTTACCATTCTGTAAAAAAGCTGGAAAAAAACAAACAACAAATAAATTATATTTTAAACAATTATATAATTTTGATCAGATTAGTTGAGTTTTACTACACTAACTTCATGTGCACCATATGTTTCCATACACTAGCAGTGTGTGGGAGAGAGAATTATGATCATACGATGAGAATAATATTTATGTAAAGAAAATATGAATCAATCTCATCTATACATTTGAATTGATTTTTTTCTTTCTTTCCAAAAGATTGAACCCCAACTCTAAGGCCCCCCTACATCCTGGTCTGATAGAGCATCCGAAAGGATGTCAATCATAGTAACTCAACTGAACATGAATCACAGATGCTAGACATTTGCTTACTGAGCACAAGGAGCCCCCTCACTTTGAGAGATTGCTCTTACACTGTCGCTGGTGAGATTTAATTCGATCCCGGGTAATTCTTTGAATTGATTGTTTTTTTTTTTTTTTGAAAAAAATGACATTTGAAGCATTATTTTTATAACTTATGTATAAATATAGGTGTAATGTTTATTATATATGTTCTGTATTTAAACATAATATCATATATGTGCATATTGTCAGTACGTAGTAATATATATATATATATATATATATATATATATATATATATATATGCTACATGAAGCATGAGAAAGGTTTGCGCCCCATGAAAATCATCCTTAGGTAACGTGTGAACTACTACATGAGTGCACATAATCTACTACATGAATGTGTTGCAATTATTCCCAAACATGCTTGTATGACGGTGGAGATCCTAAAGTAATTGTGGTGCATTCGTCTAGTAGGTTATGTGCACTCATGTAGTTTTCACATTATCATCTAAGGCATGGTTCTTAGTTGAACGTATGTATGAGAACTTGTTCTTATGTGAAAAGTAAGAATCAATTTTAGTTGTCCATTTAGTTAGATCTAATAATTTTATAGCAATAAGAAAAAAAATCACAGTGACATTTTGATAATCTTTTCTAAATTGTTTTTTTTTTTAATCATCTAACAATAACTCGACTATAAACTAATTAAAGCTATGAGGATTTTGTATAGAGATAAAACACACACACACACTTTAGAATTCAAGTAGCTTTTCTCACACAAAAAAAAAAAAACATTCTATTACTCTTGTAAACAAAATAGAGAAATTCATAGGAATTGCAACGAGACGGAGTAGGGATAGGAAGTATACTCTTCGATCCCGTCCTCTCAACCCTATCATATTCCCCGTCCTTGCCAAGGAAAAGAAAATTTTCTTCATCTTCACCGCCACAAAAAATCGTTGCCTCTCAATCAGCTCTATAGTCAAACTAGTAATTTAATTACTATAATTTTTATTATTTAAGTAAAATAATCTAAATATTTAATTTTTAATTTAAATGATCAAGTTCAAATATTAATTTATTACTTAAGTTTTTAATTTTTCATAACTTTATTAATATATATATATATATATATATATATATATATTAATGTACCCAGATGTGATGGAGAGGAGTATTCATGTTCCCGTCCCTATCCCCGGCAAGGAATGGATACATACTTGTATTGTGGTATGTTATCATCAAGAATGAGTCTGCCTTCTTACCCCATGCATATCTTTGGATGATGAGTGTGAGTTTTTACATCATAAAAATGGAGAGAGAAAAGGAATGGATACATCAAAAAGAAAAAATATTAAATATTTTCATTGCATTTTAGTAGTAGTTTTTTGTTTGACATATAATTATTTTTCATAATTGTACTGTAAGATTAATCTAAATAAAATAACATCTTTAACACAACACATCTTTTACAAAATTCAAACTTTTGTTTTTACAATTAAAGTAGCAATTGGCTTTTTCGTTAGGATTTAATTTTCCATCACAGCCCCAAAGAGATTGATAGGAGCGGATAACGAATTGAAGTTAATAATGGCAATCAAATTTAATTAAGCAACAAACAACAATGGGTCCCACTTTATGCAAATATCTTCCTTTAAAAAAAACAATATTTACTTGAAGAGCATAAATTTTACCAGGGGACTAAAATTATGCATAAAAAATTATTATGCTCAAATCACATGATGACTTTGGCAGACTAATTGTCTGTATTAACAAAATTAATTTCATAAAAAAGCTGAATCAGACACTTAATTAACAACATGCGATGTATAATTTTTTATAATTATTTTTGGGGTCAATGTCGTTATTCTGTAACCCTAATTTTGGACCAATTGTCTTGTATGGTTGTTGTAATTGTTGGACAGACATAAGTAATCGAGTAATAACTAACATAGGTGATAATTACATTTTTTAATTTGACCTTTTTTTTTTCAACCTATCACACATGATCCTAAAGTAGTTAAGAGTTTTTTTTTTTTTCTTTCTTTCTTTTTTACTTTGTACCAATTATTGTAAAGAATAATTTTATACGAGAAAAAAAAAAAAAAAACAAAGATTTTGGTATATCAAAAGTTTTCAAACATTTTGTCAAACATAAAAGGCCTTGTTTGGTAAAGGGCGGTTAGCTCTTACCTAATTGGATTAATTAGAGGGTATAACTAATTGATAACATTAGCTGATTGTAGAAAAATGTTTGGTAAATTAGCTGTTAGCGAATAACTATTTGGTATAATTTTTTTCTCAAAAAATTAATTGAAAAAATTGCTTTGAGCAGCTTTTTGAATTTTTTCATTTTGAAGTTACAAAAAGTTAATTAACCAAACATTTATATTGATTTTTTAACCAAATCAAACAATTAATAGTAGTCAAATAAATCAAAATTTACTGATAAGCTAACTATTTTACCAAACAGGGCCAAAATATTTATAGGAAATATAAGGAATTTATTAGCATTCAAAAATTGAATTTAAAATTCAATTCTAACTCCTAAAATTGATGAGCAAGTAATAGAGGTTCACAATGGCTACTTAAAAAGTTTTTCCAAACTTTATTATTATTTTTTAAACTAAATGGGTATATTTTGACAATTAATTTCTCATTTGCTCATTATCCATTTTTATAATACATCAAACCCATACCCTCAACTATGTGAATCTAAGGGCGTGTTTGGTTGGTGGGTTTTGCCCATAGGAATGGGTATGAAAGTGACTGTTGTTGTTTGGTTGATAGGTTTTTAGAACACCACTATGGGTTTCGAATACCCCATCAATTGAAAAACCCATACCCAAATAGAATAAGGGTTTCATTCCCTTATTCATTTTCAAGCACTACTATTAGTAACCATTCTCATTCCACCATACTACCAAACATGTTAAATACTTTCACCAAAACCCATTACCATTACCAAGTATTTGATACACATTCCGATTCCGATTCCTATGTGCGAACCAAAGACACCCTAAATCTACGTACTTTGATCCAATCCGAATTGAAAGTGTATCCCAGTCAAAATTATACATCTAAATGACTACTTTAAATGTCATAGCATATTTTTTCAACAATTTTCCACATGAATGAAAATAATTCTTTTTTTAGACTGGAAAACGACACAATAGTTTCAATAGACAATCTTTGAATTTATTGACATTTGTGTAAACGATTATATATCTTACAGGAATTTCCCAACATTTGTTCAGTTCTTATGGGTGTGCTCAATCGTTTTGGTTGTGGAACACTTTGCCTAATTTTGTGAGAGTTTTTAAAGAGTTGAGCATGTATAAATCTCCTTGAAGCGGCCCCATGTGTCTCTCATATAGGTGACTCTTTTCCTGAATATCTTACAAATTCAACTCATGTCAACCAACATTTTTGAATAATCATTAAAGGATTCATACATGCATTATAATTAAACTCGTGCGGAAGTCACTATTTCTACGAGAAGTGGATAGAAGTTCAAAACTCCATCATGACCACATCTTGTTCTATAGTTTAGTTGTCCCTTTTTAACCTAGGTGACAACTAATAGGGTTGGGTATCAATGGACTATAGAATTTTATTTCAGGGACTTTTGAACGACACCTTGCACGCTTGCATTGCGAGTGCACCTCCCTTCCCTTCCCTTCCCATTCCCCCTTGCGAAAGAAAGCTTCTATATATGTTATACAATACAAACTTTTTTAAAAAGTTGAATTGTATTTATACTAGTACAAACTCAGCTCGATCACATTACTTTCCAATGTAAGATAAATGTTACTTATAAGTCTTCCATACTCCATTTTCCCTAACTCAATAGAACACTTTGAGAATTAATTTCTCATGCATTCATTACCCATTTTGAGCGATAATATATCAAATTCATCCTCTCAACTATGAAAATCTGAATCAAATTTGACCCAATCCAAATAAAAAATAGATCCCATTCAAAATTACATATTAAAATTGCCACTTTAAATACTATTTTTAGCTAATTACATATTACGCGCCTAGCCTAAAACTAATCATACATTATTAAGTGTGAATGAAGTTATACCCTTCATTTATATATGTTTTTTATACGTTATTATGCAATAAAAGTACAACTTTTATTGCATATAAAAGTACAACTTTTATTGCATAATAATGTATAAAAAATTTAACAAAAAACAGACATAAATGAAGGGTATAACTTCATTCACACTTATTATGTTTTTTAAATTATGTACAATAATTTAAATATCTAAAATCTAAATAAATTTAAAATTTTAATATAAAATATTAATATTGAGTTTTTTTTTTTTTTTTTTTTTTTTTTGAATCACATGTAAAAAAAATACTAGTTATTATAATAATATAAATGTCACTAAACTCGATCATAGTACCAAAATAACAACTCATACATAAAATTAACTATTTCTAATTAGTCTTCCAATTAGGGCAACACAAAACCCTGCTACATGATCGGTATATATACGTGCAAATATATGTGTGATGAAATAAAGATGCCAGAACCCAGAATAAACTCTAATTTCCAAGAGCGGTCAAAATCTAGGGTTTTGAGATTCCTAACCCCTTGCCAAGCCACGAAGAATGATCACAATTACCTAGAAACGAAAATTCCAAATTTTCATTTCATTTTTTATCAATATATACTTTTTCTTTGTTCGACATGCGTAATTGTCAATTTTGACCTTGTGTATTTTCCTAATTTTAATTTTTAAATGTGGGCATTTAAGTCCTTGCAACATCGAACTGCCTAATATTCAAGTATTCTTAATCAGCAAGTGGAATATTATATAAATAAAATTATTCTCTGATGAAATATTTTATAGGTTTTTTGACCACAAACAAACAAAAAAATATTTTAATTTTATTTTTGAAACAAAAGAAATATTAAATTAAGAGAGAATAGAATTAAAATTTATGGGGGAGAGTGAGAATAAAATAGAATTATGGGGTGGCTAAGGAATGGGAATTTCTGGTCCGTACTGCTAAAATCTTTGTCGGAATCTCCCTGTCTTTTTCCTTAGCACACCGTTTTTATTCCTCTGTTCATATTGTTTTTGTTTTTTGTTTTTTGTTTTTTGTTTTTTTATAATTTTTAATTCTTATAATATACATTCCATCTCATTCCAAGTAACCAACCTCTTCCTTCTTGTCTTGTTTCAAACTCCATATTCTCATCTCCCTTCTAGATAGGTTTATGAAATAGACAATACACCCATGTATACATATATCGGTTGCAATATTAATAATTTATGATTCAAGTAAAAGAAATTTCCAACGATTTTTTTTTTTTTTTTATAGTTAAGTTATTAATCACTTTTTATGGTCATTAGTTTATAATTGTGATGAAAGAATTTTTAGATTCTCAAAATGACTTAAAAGTGAAGTTATTGTCAAGTTTCTGATGATAATTTTTCTTTGATCAGAAATTTTGATGAGTTCTTTTAATAGTGTTATAATAAAATGTTTGATCGGTAATTTGAATTTTGTAAATAGTATAAAATATTGCAATAATTTTTTTTAATTAATTAAATTCTAATGTAACTATTTCATGTTAGGAAAGTTACGGTATCAAAATATCTATATTGATGACAATAATATAGTCATAGCACCTACACCCATTGAAATGTCAATTTTGAGCTAAACATACACACCCTACATATGTTGGATTGTTGGTCTTGTTTTTGGGCGAAATAATTTTTATTAGGTTCTATATACACATTAAGTTAAAAAAAAAAAAAAAGTCACTTTCCCTTATTTTAATAAAACAAATTTCAACTCGTACGAGTTTAATTCACTGATTCAATTGACAATATTTAAGAGAAGAATAAAATAAATTTTAGTAAGAATACAAATATATATATTTAGGAATATGCAACAAATTAAACGTCATCATCGTGGATCGATCGATCTTTATCAACTAAGCTAAGCTTGCGAATTACTTAAAAATCACGACACAAAGCCATACTTCCTTGACCTCTTTAGAGTTGGTAGAATCATATATGCATATATGGCTCCTGGACGACATTATTGTTTTTTCTAATTAATTTAATTCACTTTTGGATAAAATAATAATTTAGAAATAGATGAACATCATATCAGACACGCATTTGGATTGGCCGGCGACGATTACTTATTAATTGATTTATCAATCAAGACTATCACTATCAAGAAGACTATACTAACAAGGTTTATGTTATCACAAACTTTTTTCTTGATGTAACAATTATAAAAATGCATTGCATACCAAAAATATATTATATTGCAAGTTTGATGCACTAATATTTTCAAATATGACTAATAACTAAATTAATTATATCCCTAAATAAAAAGAGACTTATTATTTGATCTCTGAATTAATTATTAATTTGATATATTAGCTCGAAAACTCATTCATTTTGTATTGAATATACAATCATTTATGATTTAAATGAATGGATATATGTAGTGAGTTCTGTTGTAGTATTAGTATGTACCTTTACGGATAATATCGGTACAGTAAAAAATAACATACATAGTTATATTTGGTACTAATACTACATTAAGTTTTTTTTTTTTTTTTTTTTTTAAAATTTAATGTAACTTTATGATTGAGTTATACAACAGGAGGATTACTGGTACAATAACTCAGATTTTTACCAATCTGGGTACTTTCCAAGATTGAGAAATCAATGACCAAGATTGGGCGTCCCAAAGGTTAAAAATTGGTGACCAAGATTGGACATAATGTGAAAAGTAGGTTAATTCTGTCTTCACAACTTTAGACATCATATTAATATCAACAATTGCCACAACCGACTTAAGCCACAAGTTACATATTGTCACGTCACCTGTTTATGCGATTTAAGAATTACGCTCTTTACTCCGCTACTATAAATACAGACAATTACGTACAACTAGATACATCTCCTTCATTCTACTACAAACATATATTTATATACTCCATCATTTAGTCTACCTAGCTAGTGCACAGAGTTTAGATCCAATAACCCCATCAATTTCGGATATTGAAATTCTATTTAACCAGAGTTCGTATTGAAGAGAATATATATATATATATATATATATATAGAGGGTATTGTTTTTGAAAATTGGAATGTCGTTAACATGGAGAACAATGTTTTCATAAAAGAATGTGTTTCTTGGTTTTCATTACTGTCATGCTTGGAATTGGGATTCCTCATAGCATGCATGCTTGGTAAATTCCTTGTGAGTTGTGATCCCAAGCAGTTTAATTATTTTATTCTTTTTAAAATTCCTTTTTATCCCTTCTCTAATACTTCCCCGTATATTAAAAAGAAATGTTTATTTTCTTACTATATTAGAATTTTTTTTTAAAAAAAATTATCACTATATATATATATATATATATATATATATATATATATATATATATATATATATATATATATATATGTGGTCTAATGGTACCCGGGTTAGATTTTCATTTAAAAGATTGTGAGTTCGAGCCTCAGTACGTGGAGGCGTGTTATGATACACATTATAAAAATATGTATGTATGTATATCATTTAAACTAAATATTTATTAAGAGTTAATTCTAATAATGGTCCATCGACTATTGACATTTGTCAATTTTTATCGTCGACTTTCAATTTGACCATAAGTGGTCTTTTGACTATTAATTTTGTTCCAGATTTGGTCCTCCAGTTAAATTTTCATTTAATAAGCGTTCAATTTAAGGGTAAGAATGTAAAAAAAATATAATTTGTTACTGAGATAGGTAAATTGGGTCATAAACTTCATACACTAGACTCATCATTCGTGAAAATATAATTTGAAGAAGAGTGAATTCCATTTTTGGTCCTACTGTTATAGGGGCGTTTCCAATTTTAGTCCACCTTAATTTTTTTTTGCCACTTTACAACCACTGTTATTGAATGTGTTCCACTTTTAGTCCACTGTTAATATTTCCGTCAAGAGGCCGTATAATCCACGGGTATTTTGGTCTTTTTATGGTGGTCTCTTCTCGTTTAATCTAGGCGCTTCGTCCTCCTCCTCCGATATTCGAAGATGGCTCTTCAACCAACGAGAATGGGAAGCCAAAGCTACAACGTTTTGTTCGTTCCAACGTGGACCGGCGAGGTTTCTTAGGTTTTAGGTTTAATGTTCTCATTCCTTTTAGTCAACCATAGTCTTGGATGAGAAGAAAGATCAAAATACTCCTAGATTACACGGCCTCTTGATGGAAGTACTAACGGTGGACTAAAAGTGGAACACATTCAATAATAGTAGTCATAAAGTGACAAAAAAAATTAAGGTGGACTAAAATTGGAAACACCCCTATAACAGTAGGACCAATAATGGAATTCACTCTTTGAAGAACAAGTTGATGCATAAGCCAATTTCACTAGACTATGTTAATATAATTGACTGTATTGATAACTTATACATTGAGATTTCTTAATTGTACATTTACACACACACAAAACTTCATAATTTTACAATTATCTTCTTAGTTTATTTTGCCTATAACATTTCAGTCATAAAGATTTGTTAATTTTAAAAAAACCTTTCTATTGAAATTTATTTTCTAATTTTACTTTTTAACTGCCTAATTTTTTATAGCATTGGTATATATAAATATGAAGCAATTTATCATCCAACTACACATACTTACATAGGGAAAAATAAATTTTTAATCTCTCAATTATTTCTTGCTAACTATTTTAGTCCTTAACTTTTTACCGTTATAATATATTTTCATCACTCTTAAAAAAAATTATAGTTTTAGCTTATAAAATAATAAAACTAATAAACTCTATTAAAATTTTATTTAGTATATAATACTTTAGTACTTTTTATTTTTATTTTTTTAAATTATAATCTTCTTTAGTCACAATATTTCATTTGTAAAAAAAAAAAATTGATTTTAACAGGTTTGTGTAAGAAAATAGGGACAATGTACCACAATTGAAGATGACAAAATTAAGGAAGACCATGAGGTGTACTAAGTATGCCCTAACTGTATAAGATGACAAAATTAAGGAAGACCATGAGGTATTTGCACCGGGCCAGTCCAATTAAGGGGCAAAGTGTTGGCCAGATTGGTTTTGTCCTTATTGTAGAAGGCACCTTTAAGCCCGTGCCATAGTCAGACTAAAATACCGGGCCAGCCCAATTAAGGGGCAAAGTGTTGGCCAGATTAGTTTTGTCCTTATTGTAGGAGGCACCTTTAAGCCCGTGCCATAGTCAGACTAATCCCCATTCGCATCGAGTCGGCCCACTTAATGGGCAAAGTGTTGGTCAGATTGGTTTTTTTATACAGGAGGGAGTTCGAACTCCCGATGACCTCTCTTAAAGGATGAGACTGCACAACCATTCACGCCAACTAAGCTGGTTAAGAACGTGCTTTATTTAACTAGTAATAAAGATAATACATAAATTGTTGGTTGGCTTGTTAGCTAATACGTCCTTTCAGCATGCTCAGGGTATACAATTGTTTGATTCCTCTTCTATGAAGCTCTAGCGAATTATAAATAGACATTTTGTTCATCCTCGATCCAATTGAGTGTCACTATCTATGAAGCTCTAGCGATTATAAATAGACATTTTGTTCATCCTCGATCCAATTGAGTGTCACTACTTCACTATTTTAAGTTTTTTTTTTGAAAGCTATCTCCTCCTATCAAAACTAAATATTGCTTATGTCGCATTTTATGTGTCTAGTTCAATTATCGAGACATGATTCAAGTTATTTATAATTTAACTTTTTGTAATATTTAATTTAGTATTACGATATAAAATTTAAATATTTCAAAACTATATTAAAAATACCATTAAACACAAAAAAAAAAGTTAAATTAAAAATTAAATATTTTTTTAAAAAAGAGTTGATTTTATTACTAAATAATTAATAAATAGGACAACTAAAATGAGATTTAATATATATATATATATATATATATATATATATATATATATATATATATATATATATATACAAAAGCCTTTTTTATTATTAAATTTGTGGTTAATATTGCTTTATACTATTATTTATCCCTACATTACTATAATAGGGAGGACGGTTTGCATAACTAGCTAGGCTAGGTTAACAAGAATTACTATTAGAAGAGATCACAATGAATTTAAAATTAGAAAAATATTCTTTTTATGGACCATCAAATCCTAGTGGAACATTAAAAAATCCAACAATCATATTCCCTATAAAATAAAGTAAAATAAAAATAATCACAACTCATTTTCTTCATTAAATTAAACCCAATTAAATATGGATCCCAACACCACCCCTTTCAATATGCGCTTTGCATTATAAATGCTCCTTTATTTTATTTTATTTTATTTTTTGTGTGTTACTATTTCGCATATTATAAATGCTCCTTTATTATAAATGCTCCTTTATTTTATTTTATTTGATTTTTTTGTTGTTTTTTTTTTTTCATTAAATCATGATTTTGAGTTTTTGACAGCCGTAATATACTACCATTCTGTCTCTATTTATAATAACAACAACTTAAGTCATATAGAAATTAAACTATAAATAAATTGAAAAAAATTTGATCCCGTAAAAAAAATTAATGATATAAAATTAAAATGTTGAACTAAGTCTTAATAATTTATTTATAATTTTTAAATAAGTTATAAATTTAATATTTTGAAATTAGGAAAGTCAATTTGACTCTTAGGCTAGTTGTATTCATAAAATACTATTGGATTTTATGATTATTTTAATTTTAAAGTGGTTGGTCTAATACTCGAATCCAAGGCGCACAACGAAACGAATTGATTTTTCAAATCTCCAATTTTTATTATTTTCCTTAATTTGGGGAGAAAGGGGGGGGGGGGGGGGGGGGTATAGAATGATAGAGCAGCACACGTTGGAGCACCGACCATCCCAATCACGTGGCGGCTAGGCATGCATGCGTTTTGTTTCGGGATGATATATAATATCCCCTATCCGGCGTCCGCTGCTCAAAATAAAAAATAATTTTAAAACAAAAAATAATAAAAAAATAAAAACTAGAAGGTAAAGAACAACCTTATAGCAAAAATTAAAGAAATGGACTTGCCGGGTTTGAATCAACATTTATTGGATAAAAATAGGTTCAATATTAAATATAATTATGATATTGAATTAAACAAAATGGTATTAATATACAATAATGAAGAATATTTATATTAACTTCTTCTTCTCCCAATATTTATATCAACTTCGTTGTTC